CCTTTTCCTTACTGCCTTTTCTCTCCTTCGTCACATAAGACCAACTAAAATGTAATCAATGCAGTTTTGCTCCTTTCCAAATGAAGGTGGAAATGGAGAACCAAGGCCATCCCCCCCCCCACTCTCCGAGACAAACCGCACAATTCAGAAAACAAGGTTATACATTCTTTGCTCAAACTGGAGTAAAGCTCTGCAGCGACCTTCAAATGTCTATAAAAATGCACACATATAACTAGGAATATAAGCAGCCCCAGATGGATATTTCAAAGTAAAACTCGTAGAATACCATACAGTGTTACTCTTTGATTACTTGTAATTTGTTTTAACTCCTACAAGTATTGGGGTTTTTTGTTAGTTTGATATAGACACTATTGTGTTTACGTGTGTTTCTGGTGATGTTTTGTTTTTCATTTTACTTGGCGTTATTTGTACTCCCTCATTCTGAACCGCCCCTTCTTGACTACGCTCTCAGCACCTCCTACCGTTCTACTCTGCGGAAAAAACTTCACTCTTCCTCTTCTGTGCCAAACTTCTTAAAATTTCTGGCTCCCGTAGATGAAAATAACACCTCTGACTTTAGGAACACGAAAAGGTAGGGGCCTCGTTCTGCGTCTGCAGCTGGCAAATGTGTGATTCAGAAATATCTGTTTCAGAATCTGATAAAACGGAGTGTGTGTGTGTGTTTGGAAATTTATGGTTCTGCTGTAGTCAGAGTGGTGAGAATTAGAATTTTGTACAAACCCATTTCACTGTAGTGTCATCTATGTTTCTGAATAATATAGGCAATGTGGTAGAAGACTGTGAAACTCCGTTTTTAAGGTTCTTTAGTAATAGTATAAAGTAAACTGTAGATAGGATTGCCATCTCCAGATTGGGAAATACCTGGAGATTTTGAGGGTGGAGCCTGAGGAGGGCGGGGTTTGTGGAGGGGAGGGACTTCAAAGGAGTATAATGCCATCGAGTCCACCTTTCAAAGCGGTCATTTTCTCCAGATGAAACTGATCTCTGTCACCTGGAGATCTGTTGTAATCCCAGGAGATCTCCAGCTACCCCCTGGAGGTTGGCAACCCAAGGTGTAGATCTCCATAACTAGGTTTCGGCCGTGAGACCTAGTGAGCAGAAATTGATTTGGAGATCTGTGTGGTGGTATTTCAGACTGAGGGGGAAACTGTCCTCACCTGCTGTGAATTTCAAAGTATTTCTCCAATGATCGGAGTAGAAATACTGTTGGGAACTGACAGGACAGCAGAGCGCAGCTTACCTGAAGAAGTAACAGCAGGAAGCAAAGGTTTAATAGCCAAGGCCCATATTGGCACAAGTAAGGTCATTACGAGAAAAGAATGTGTAGAGTTGGCCATACACATATGCAGAGTTCACGTGTAATGGAAAACCTTGGTTTGCCATTACATAAACCAGTCTAGGGAATTTGTAGACTCGCTCAAGTCCCTTGCCCTCTGTGTGCACAGCCAGCTAATGAATTGTTTCTGGTTTCATGACAAGCCATTACGTCCAAACTGTGGCATGCTCACTTCCTTGCAAGCCTGGATTTCCTACAGTAGTTTAACCCTGGCTTGTATAGAGAAGCACATAACAGTGGCTTGCCCAGAAAGCTGGCTGTGTGTGCGGAGAAGCGAAGGAAACACCCAGGTCCGAGAATCCTCCAGGATCATTTACAAAGCAGCAGTGCATGTTTGACTGCTTACTTAACACCTGAACCAAGAACTCCTCGCAACTTGTTTACTTGGGATCTTACCTCATGGTGGCACTGTTACCAGATCATTTTATAACACAGAAAGAGGGGGAGGGCAGGGAAGTTACATCATTGTTCCCTCTAAGCTGAGTTGGTCTGAGCTAGCTCACAGTTGTTTAGCCTCTGGCTCACAGTTTTTTGTCTCAACTCAGGAAGGACGGCTCCAGAGCAAACTGATTTATACAGTAGGCAAATCGCTCGCTCACAACTTTAATGCCCGTAGCTCACAAGGTAGAATTTTTGCTCACAAGACTCCACATCTTAGAGGGAACATTGGTTACAGGGTGGGTGTTTTGACCTCAAAAGTAGTGTCATATGTTGTGGATTATTTATTTGATTTATACCACGCCCTTTCTGCCAAAGCAGGCTCAGGGTGGCTTACAAGGCCACTGGCAACATAAAAACATTAAAACAAAAAGACAAAAAAAGACTGCAAAAGGTGGGCTTTCTTGGGCTCATATTGCCACTTGCTTGATTTTTCATCTTACTAAGGGGATCCAGGGACAGGATATGAAAACTTGACATGAGTTGGTCATAGAAAGATGTGTGGGTGTTGAATATTATTTTCACGTGGGGCCTGCGTTTCTCTCAAGGGGCATATTGGTGGTGGCTATTTTTAACAACTATCTTTAGAGGTTCTGTAGTTTCTGTATTGTTTACGGATTCTTACTGAGGATACTTGAAGGATTTGTGTATTCATCCCATTTTATTGATCTCAAAAGGTATTTGTGTATTCATCCCATGTTATTGATCAAAAAATGCCCCGCGGTTAGCATACTTTTACAATTATTAGTCCAGCAATCCTACAAAATGTTTTCCTCACTCTCTAATGTTAGTGACTACAAGCCCAAATTGGAGGAAGCAGATTCTGCCTATGAAACCCCTGTGAGGACCCGCCGGCATTTCCTGGAGACAACAGATATTTCTCCGGGTGGCAACACCACAGAAAGGATGCGATTCTCCCAGCTGGCATGACGGTAAAGGCCTTTGCCAGATCAAGATCCACCCTTAACCTATAATGCAGATGAGGTTTTTTTCCTTTTGTAGGTTTTGTTTTGTGGCACAGAGGGGTGTTGAGGTTACCCATTTCCCAAAACTTACTTTATTTATTTTCTTCATTGATAACTCGCCTATTTCCCCAGTGAGGGACCCAAAGTGGCTTATGTCATTCTCCTGTCCTCCATTTTACCCTTAAAACAACCTTGTGTGGTACGTTAGGCTGAGCGTTTGTGACTGGCCCAACATCACCCAGCTAGCTTCCATGGCAGAGTGGAGATTCAAATCTTGGTCTCCCAGATCCTAGACTGACACTCTAACCACTACACCACACAACATAGATCTACATTTGTTATGTATTCATTTCTTTCTGCCTGTTCCCCCCCCCCCAGTGGCTGATTTCCAGCATCACTGGCTATTCTGCACCTACTAGCTTTGAGTCTTGCCCACCTGCTTCTCTGCCTTTCATTCTTATATTCAAGATTATACTTGTGGTGGCTCGGTTTGCATTATGTTGTCCAAGCCAAGAAATAAACAGATGCCAGAAAGACACCTAGAAAACACTGTTGCCTTCTTATTGGGCTTTTCCGCATTCTCGTTTTCCTTCCTTGCGTATTCCTGTTGCTTCAGGGGTTTTTATCCCTGTTCTGCATGTGTTTTTCCTCCCTCTAGTGGTCGATTTGATATTACATTGCTTTATGTCTGGCATACCTCCTTGCAGATTTAAACTGCAGGCTTTTATGCTGGACATGATGTGATGTGATATCGAATCAACCACTAGCGGGGACCAAAACACATGTGGAACAGACCCCCCCCCCAAGCAACAGGAACACCCAAGCAAGGAAAATGAGAATGCAGAGAAGCCCATTATCGCTGAAAATAGCATAGTTCACAGAGCACCTTTCTTGTGTGCTGAAGTCTATAATTATGGCCTTTATTATTTATAAAATACAGACTACTTAATAAAGGGATGTCATTTTTAAACAATTCCTGATAAGTTAAATTAGAAATTCTGACCACTTGTATGTAATACGCTCCATTTACTCCATCTTAGCTTGGACCCAGTGAGTGAGTTTCTTCGTAGTGGCTGTACCCAAAAGGTTGGGGTTTTTTGTACTAGTAATTTCCCACAATTCAGCACAACCTTTGCTGTTGCTGAAAGTTTGGCTTTCAAGCTACTATCCTCGGGAATTTTTCTGAATCGTTCAAAAGAAAAGGGGTCATCATCCGTCTGCACTTTATATCCCATTTTATAATTAGCCAGCATAAAATTTTGTTCACAGTGTTTAAATTGCATTGATGCAAAACATGCAAAAAGTCAGTGTCTGTCAATGGAAAGGGGGCGGGGTGCAGTGTTTCCTCCAAGCTGGGTTAGTGTGAGCTAGCTCACAGTTTTTTAGCCTCTGGCTCACACATTTTTGTCTTCGCTCAGGAAGGGTGGCTTCAGAGCAAACTAATTTATGCAGCAGCCAAATCGCTCGCTCTTTAATACCAGTAGCTCACAGAGTGGAATTTTTGCTCACAAGACTCCACAGCTTAGAGGGAGCCATTTGCAGGGAGATATTTTTGCCGATTGTCTCCCATATTGCAAATCATCAGTTCACCCATCCTCCTATTCCTGAGGGTCCTCGTTCCCCTTGAGCAGCATTTTGGGGGGCTACCGGGGTGCTGCCATAGGCCTGGGGAGCCAGAAACGTTCTATTCCCCTGCTTTCCATTAGCAGAAGCCAAACTTTGGATCAGTGCCAACATGGTTGCTATTACATTTCTTAATTAACGTAAGTGTTTTGGGGTAACGTAACTATACAGTTGAATTTATACTGTGATTAACAGCTTGGGGTGCCCACATCTGAAACAGATCTGGAGCCAGTCCAAGAGCCCACAAATGGGAGGCACGTGGTCTGGACCTGCATGTCATCTATCCGGACCGGGGTGCACGTTTCGGTCACCATGTGGTGATTTCTGCAC